TCTATGTGTCGCCATTATACTTCTCATCTCCTGACATATATTGTTGTGTGTATTTAGTTGCTTACATGTTTATTACATACTCCTCTTCACTGGAATGTGAGCTCCTTGAGGGCATGGGCCATGTTTTACTGTTCACTACTGTACCCCTAGCACCTAGCATAGAGCCTGCCATGTAGTAGACACTCAGTAAATACTTGACAAATAAATGAATAACCTCTATAGTTTCTCAAAGTCCATGGTTCCCTCTCTTCTTGCTTTTCTCTCTAGCCTTGGCCATGTGCTGTATCACCGCAGTCACTCACCAGCACCCTCCACCTCCTCAGTCACTTCAGTCCAACTCCCCTACTTCTCTCTCAAAAAACTCCACAGCCATTGATGGATTGGTGACATTTATGAGTTTATACTTTTGAGGTCTGCTGGGCTTTAACCTGTCCTGCATTCCTTCTCTGTGTCCCTAATCAGTTCTGTCTTCTATTTCCTATAAAATTATTTTAAATCTCGACTCTTCCCTTCACCTTCTCCATGAGGAATTTGCTTTAACTGTGCACCTTTGTCCCCACCAAAACATAGATAGTCTTTGAGTCTCATCCACTCTCGCCTTAGCTGTGATCTCGCCCCAGGCAACTCCCCAGTTTGGCTCTGGATGCTTCCCACCTTCTCAGGAAACTTGCGCAAGTGATTCCTTTTCTTCCACCTGCGTTTTTCTCTCCGTCTATTGGCTTACTGGCCCCCTCCTAATCCCGCATGCGCCCTTCCTCTTTTGAATTTGCCTGACTCATTATTTATGCCTCTCTGCATGTTTCTTTTGCTTTTTCCCTTATTTTAGTTCTCTTATTTTAATTAATCTCCCTCATTAGTCTAAAATTTATCATCTTAACCGTTTTTAAGTGTACAGTTCAGTAGTGTTAAGTATATTCACAGTGTTGTACAACCAATTTCCAGAATTCTTTCATCTCACAAAACTAAAACTCTGTCCTCATTAAACAACAAATTCCCATTCTCCCCCCACCCTCCCCCTGGCACCCACCATTCTCCTTTCTGTCTCTATGACTCTAACTATTCTAAGTACCTCATATAAACGGAATCATATACTATTTGTCTTTTTGTGCCTGGCTTATTTTCCTTAGCATAATGTCCTCAAAGTTCATCCATGTTGTAGCTTGCGTCAGAATTTCCTTCCTTTTTAAGACTGAATAATATTCTATTGTGTGGATAGACCACATTTTGTTTATCCACTCTCCTCTCTATGGACACTTCAGTTGCTTCCACCTTTTGGCTATTGGGAATTAATGCTGCTATGAACGTGGGTGTGCAAATATCTCTTTCGAGACCCTGCTTTCAATTTTGGGGGATATATACCCAGAAGTGGAATTGCTGGGTCATATTTTAATTCTATTTTTAATTTTTGGAAAAACTAACATACCATTTTCCATAGCAGCTGCATCATTTTACATTCCCAACAGTACACAGGGTTCCAGGTTCTCCACATCCTTGCAACACTTGCTATAGTCTGTTTTTTGCTGTTGTTGTTGTAGTAGGTATCTAATGGGTGTAGGGTGATATCTCATTGTGGTTTTGATTTTCATTTCCCTAATGACTAATGACGTTAAGCATCTTTTCATGTGCCTGTCGGCCATCTGTATAACTTCTTTGGATAAATATCTATTCAAGTCCTTTGCCATTTTAAAAATTGGGTCATTTGTTTTTTGGGATTTTTGTCATTGCTCTGATTTGTCTTTGAATCCCACATAGTATATACTGCATTACCTTGCCCCGCTTCTGAAAACTTGGGTTTGGGAAAGTTGGATGGCTGTTGGGGGTTGTCACACAGGGTGCAGACCATATCTGCACATACTCTGAGGTCCTGGCTGGGTCTCAAGTACATTCAAGGTCCAACTAAACCCCTAATTAGTACTTCTGGAAACAACAGCCAGGAGTGCCATCTGAGGAAAACTCTTGCGTGGTCCATAAAAGATTTCATTGCCTCATCCTAAAAACCCACATCAGGTGGCTTCCCAGGAGGAAAGGTGTCCTTGTCCTAGGGTCAGACTGCTTGGGGGAATTTGGAGGAGTCAATGTCAGTTTTCTGGTGTGGGAGTTAAGTCCAGCCTGAATTATAGAGATATGCTCTCCATATAGATGAGATCAGAACTCAGGAAGAACGAACTAGAAATCACATCGAGAATCTTCAATGCGAGGAGGTCATTTTTCGTTCAGTAAACATCTATCATGTGCCTAAGAGCCAGGCACTTGGCTAGGGAGGTAGAAATAGAATCACAGTTTGGGCAAAGTTAAGTCCTTCTAGTTTGTATCTATCAAATTCCAGAACATAGAGAAGTATTAGAAAACTAGATGCCGAAATGGAGAAATATTAGCCATTAATCTCTGCCTTCTTCTCCTGTCTTCTTGACACTGTAGCTTTTGCTTTGATTTCCTTCTTTGACAATTTAGGTAAAAATTATAATGGCTGATTAAAATGTGCCATGTTGGAAAGGGCAAAGGAAATGAAAAGATATTTTCTTTATTACTTAAAAAATCTGTGGTTTAATCAACTGCTGCTTCTCCCCACCTATTGACTACAGAGTGCCCTGGAGCTAATGAAAGTGTTTGCTGTTAAGAATGATTGTTCCAGAGACTTGATCATAACCAGCTTATCAGATGACTAAATGAAATAACACATGTGAAAGCTTCTGGCAAAATCAGGGTAGTGGGGGTTTTTCTTCCTTTTTTCTTTTTTTCTTGTCTACTCATGAAAAAAGAGATTACTAAGCAAATTAATGAGTAAGCAGGCAAGAAGTAAAGTGCTCTTTTATTTAATAGCAGAGGCATTTAGCAGCAGGCCTCTATCCACACGTTGAATTTGCTAACTATAATTGAGTCCCGTGTAGTATTTAAGGCATTTACAAGGTTCTTAGAAGCCTTAGAGTTCTGTCCGCCTTCCACTTGTAGCAGTGTGACTGCAATCCTCAAAGAGAAAGAACAGTATTGCTTTTTAAGTGTCCCATTAGTCAGACTGTTCATTTACTTAAACCAACACCCTCTCATTTGTCCCCCTCCCCCTCCCTGATTGAAAACCCTGCAGGCAGCACAGGCAGGCAGAGCAGGAGAGCCTGGCGTACAAGGCCTTTGCCATGCACACTGTGATCCAGCTACAGCAAGCTCCTGGGCACCCCTCAAACAAGCAGTGCCCTTGGCCTGTGTACTGTCCTTTGCTGCATCTTCCTCTGGTGAGCTCCTGCTCATCTTCTGCCACCCAGCTCACAGAACTCATTGCCTTCTCTGAGCCACCTTCTCCAGCACCTGTCCAGTAGAGGGAGGTACTGTGCCCCTCCCTCTGCTGAATTCCCACCACATCTGGCCCATGTCTGTTAGAACTCTGATTACATTTTAAGTCAATGATGTGTTCACAGGGCTCTCTCCCCAGTGG